GTGGAAGAGAAGTGAGTATGGCAAATCCAAACTTACTTTCATATTCTCGGCAAGATTTATCAAATAAGAAAGAATAAATATTTGTAAACTGAGTTAAAAGCTGAAGTTACATGAAGAGGTCCTGAAAGTCTGAGGCTTCTCTAAATGGAGATCTGTCAGCTCACCTGTAACATCCAGGGACTCATAAGAACCTATGGATGAAATAGTCCTGTAACTTCAGTGTATCATGCAGGTTGGGAGAGATGCTGCATTTCTGTAGCTGAGCAGATATAGTTAGGACTTTTGAAAACAGAAGAGATCAATACTGGTAACTGGATTATCCATCTCGGGCAAAATTCTGGCACAGACTTTGAGCACATATGTGTGTATTTGTGTGTGTGTGTGTGTGTGTGTAAATTTCCAGGACAAGTTTCCACGTGCCATCAGCTTCCCAGAGAAGTTGGTGACCCCTAAAATGGTTAAAAGCTACTGACCAAAGATTTTCTTTCAGGAAAAATTGCTTAACCCTTGGACTCTTCCAATCCCCTCTGTCCACAGGTGGGGAAACTGAGGACATGGGAAAAGGGGTCTGTTCAAGGTCTGTTCCTTCCTCGAGTTCTCACTGCCCCACCCCCACCCCCACTCTTTACATTGCTTTTTCCAAAATGCTTCTCTCTCCATCAGAAGGTATAAAGAGATGCCCAGAGCTTGGCTGTGGGAACAGGGTGTGATTTATGAGCTCTTTGTATCCCTTCCTGGGAAGGGATGGACAGTTTCTGAGCATAACACTCAAACCAAAAGGAATCCCTTTGGATTTGGAAATCCCCAGACATTCTTTGAGAAATGATGAATAGGGCTTGAATGTAATGGGAAAATCACGGGAGACAGACTGGAGATGGGACGTCTTTCAAAGAGCAGTTGGGGTTCTTGGAAAGGAAGGCCAGGATCTCTGGGAGCAGGGTGGGTTCCCTAAGGCTCCTCTGTCCTGCCAAGTTAATTTCACTCTTTTTTAAAATTTTATTTTAGAGAAGACAGAGAGAGCACAAGCTGGGGAGAGGGACAGAGGAAGAGAGAGAGAACTAAGCAGGCTCCTGCTCCACGCAGAGCCTGACACAGGGCTCGATCCCACAACCCTGGGATGATGACCTGAGCAGAAATCAAGAGTCAGATGTTCAACTGACTGAGCCACCCAGGCGCCCATATTTCACTCTTTTTCATAGACTTTCCACTCCTGCCAGATTAGGAGAAGGAATTTGACATTATTTATCTATATTGCTTCAAGCTCTTGGTGAAATTGCTCATTATAGACAAGAAGAAATGGTATGGATATTTTGAAGATATAAACAGCTTCAGGATTCACCCTTGTTTCCCTCTGTTCAAACTTTTTATTTATTTTTTTATTTTTTAAGATTTATTTATTTATTTAAGTAATCTCTACACCCAGTGTAGGGCTCGAACTCATCACTCCAAGATCAAGAGTCACATGCTCCACCAACTGAGCCAGCCAGGTGCCCTTGTTCAAACTTTTTATTAGTGATGTGCATGAGAATATTGCTGGCATGCTTACTAAATTTGCAAGCATTATCAAGCTAGAATTATTAACTTTTCAATCAACAAACGTTTATCAAAAACTTCTAAATGAAGAAACCGAGGGGATGAAAGACACTGTTTCCTGCAAAACTCAGGAACCAGAAGCAAAAGAAACAAGTACACAGTTACAGTGCACTGTGACTGTGCTGCCACAGAGAGGGAGGCATGGCGGGGGGGGTGGGGGTGGTTACAGGAGCCCAGAAAAAGGGCCCCAACCCAGATTGTGATTTCCATGAGGAGGTGATGGTTGAGGAGTCTTGAGAACAAGGCAGCAGTTAGCAGAGCAAACCTGGGAAGGAGATGACCCACTGGAGGGAAAACATATAATATACACAGGCCCAAGTGCAGGTAAGCCCTGGTCTGTTCAGGAAGCTGCATGTGGTTCTGGATAGCAGGTGTTCATGGAGGTCATTCAGTGGCATCAGCCAACAGATGGTCTGGTCTGGTCTGAAGGGTCCAAGATGGCTTTGCCCACATTTCTGATTATTTGCTGGCTGGGACTGGATTCAGCTGAGACTATTGATCTAGTGGCTTCACCAGCATGTTCTAAGAGTGACTGGACTTTTTACATGGTGGCTCAGAGAGTGTCCCAAGAGACCAAAATGGGAGCTTTGGGAAATTGATGACCTACCTTGGAAATTCCAGACATTGACTCCCAATGCATGCTGTTGGCCAAACAAGTCACCAGAGCCAGCCCAGAGTCAAGGGAGGGGGATGGGACCCCATTTCTCAATGGGACAAATGTCAAAGGATTTGCATCATCTCTAAGCCACCACAATGGAGAGAAGGTCAGGGAAGTGACACTTATATTTTCAGAAAGATAAAGTTATGGTGTCCAGGAAGGAAAAAGACGGATGGAATTCAGCTAGGGAGGAGTTGAGGGTGCTCTGTAAATGGCCTAAGTCTTAATAAAACCAGTATAACTCATCAGCCTGATGGCCTGGTCTTCCCTGCTCTTCATTCTTTCAACAAGCACTGATTTTGTGTCCACTCTTTTCCAGCCCCTGGACAAGGTGCTGGGCAGATGGTGTGAATAAGACACTGTTCCTGTATTTAATCCATAAATCCATAAGTAAGTGCAACAGAATGTCACAAGGGTTGCATCTTGGAAGATGAGGGGACTCTCCAGGTACCTGGAGAGAAGAGTGGGGAAGAGGGCATTCCAGGCCAATAAGCATCAGGAACAAAGCTGTAGAGGCATGTGGCGGTTGGTTTTAGGGCCATGTCAGCATGCTAGAATACGGGATATGGTGGCCTCGGCAAGAGCAGAAACAAAAGGGACAGCATTCAGACCCAGATGATGTCTGCCGATGGCTCGGCAGTGTGTGGGGGGGCATGTGGGCTCTTTACCTGTTTGCCTGGTACCCTTTCACAGAAATAGCCCATAAAGGCACTAGAATGATGTCTGCTTATTGCCTTGCGGGGGCAGAGGAACAGAACCAAATGATTGCCATTCCCAGGTACTTCTTCAAAGTGATCAAAATGGGAGAAAACTGGTCAGCTGGACACCAGGTGCCAGAGCAGGTAGGATGTGTTTCTGGCCACAGGGGCCCCTAGAACTCAGCCAGCTGACTCTGTGCCTCAGGTCCTAAGCCAGAGTTCCACGGTCCTACCCCAGCTGCCTGGGGTAGACAAGAAGACAAACAAACATCAGGGCCCCCTGCCTCTACCTGCCCTCCTGCCTTCACAAGAGCCAAAAGAGATACACCCCAACATTGGGTTTTACCAGGCTTCAGTGGAGGCTACTGTGGAGTTCATATGTGACATCTCTCAACACCAAACACTCTAGGCAGGGGGGAGGGGTTGGTGGGGAAGGCCTTATCTTATTCAGTCCAAAATTTCATAGCAGGACCAAGGGTTTGGTCCCAATGAGCATGGAAATTCAGGTGTGGCATAATCCTCAGCCCCACCGATGAGCTTCCAAGAGTTCAACAAAGCAACTGACCCAGCCCTAATCCCAAATACCAACAGCAAACCACATCCTAACCCAAACCCTTTCAGACCCTTATCCTCTTTGCTAACTCCACAACCATCTGAATTCCAGCCCAGTACTCATCTAACCCTATGCTAATACCAAATAAAATAACAAAATAACCTATACATTTACCTCCAATCAATCCTGTACTGCCTTCAGCCCTAACTTTGACTCCAATTCCAACCTCACCCTAGGTCAAAGCAAAGGAAGGGTCTCTGGAGAGAAAATCACCACTGCTCCACAATCTGGAGGCCTTGACCGACAGCTGTCTACAATTTGTAACTTGAAATGTGTCTTGAACAACTGTCCTCCGGGTTTAAAACCTGATAGGAGACTATTGCCATTATTAAAGGATTTAATGCCCAGAAATCTATTTGGAAAGAATCAGACCTTAGAAATCCATAGCTGAGAAATAGAGGCATTTTAGTTATTTCCTCTGCAAACAGCAGACTGGGATGAAAATTCTTCTATCCCAAACCTTGGGCTGCCAGGAGTCATCGGGAAATGGGATTATCTTCAATTTATAAATGTTGAATAACTGCCAGCTTCTAAGGAGAGAGGAGATAAGTAGAAGAGTCCAAAGGAGAAACTAGATTTTTTTTAAAGAGACCCCAGCATGTTTCGTTCTGACTTAGTGTCTGGCCTTCTCCCCACCCTGGAAGGCTGGTTAGGGGTGCCCAGCCCATGGCCCAGAGGCTAAGAGCCTGAATGAGGGGCAGGGAAGGTGGGGTTTCAGAGCATGAGGCCCGAGCTAAGTCCCAGAGTTCTGTTCTGTAGGAGAAGGCAGAGGTCAGTCTGGAAATGTGATTCCAAAGTGGGCTGTCAATCAGGGAAATAAGACAAATAACTGAGGCTGAGACACAAAGCCCAGGGGCGGGATGGCTGGAGCGGGGAAGGCCAGAAAGAGAAACTGCAGGTTGGGGCAGGCCAGTTGGGGGATGGGGGAGGCAGTCTGGAGAAATTCCAGGATCCAGGTGCCAGTACCCCACCCAAGCAGGTTTTACACCCTAACAGCACAAGTTTGCATGGAAAAGCCAGATTCCTTTTTTAATCACACTTCCCCCCCCCCCCCCCGACAAAATTGGAGAATATTTAGCAAGTCTAAAAAAGTTTCTAGAAGCGAATTAAAATTAACTACAACCCCTAGGGGCGCCTGGGTGGCTCAGTCGGTTAAGCGTCCGACTTCAGCTCAAGTCACTATCGCGCGGTCTGTGGGTTCGAGCCCCGTGTCGGGCTCTGGGCTGATGGCTCGGAGCCTGGAGCCTGCTTCTGATTCTGTGTCTCCCTCTCTCTCTGCCCCTCCCCCATTCATGCTCTGTCTCTCTCTGTCTCAAAAATAAATAAACGTTAAAAATTTTTCTTTAACTACAACCCCTTGACTTGGGTTACGGTCATTTAAAGGGGGCAATGTGACTAGCACTTCATCATTTCAAGAATTTGTCCTCTTACCTTCCAGGCTTAGTTGCTAACATCTAGAAGAAAACAGCTTCTGCTCTCTTTCTTCGTCCAAGAGGACAAGACCTCCTGACCAGAAATCAAGGCACAGCTGAGGCTGACTGAGCAGATGCTATTCCCTGCACTGGAAGGGAGGTGGGGGTCCGTTCAGAAGATGCGTGCTGGTTGTCTCCCGCGTGGCAGCGCTGTGCTGGCCCCGGGGTTACAGCCTGGCACATACCACCCCTCCTCTGGGCACTTCCACCTCCTGCAAAGGCTACCGATGGTCCCCAGGCCAGCTTCCTCTGTGTATCACTGACACCCCCCCGTGTGCACCCACTCCCATACTCCCACACCACAGCATCACACAGGTGCCTGCACCCTCGCAAATACATTCGCGGACGCACACAATCACTCACGCCGATGTCCTCGCTTGCACGCTCACATCACAGCGACATACACTTACACGCTCAAAGACTACACACGCACACGCATGCCCTCGGACACACTCTCACACATGCCGTCACTGATGAGCACACACTAGGCAGTCACCTGCTCCTTCTTTTGTGCTCCCTTGTCCCCTGGAGAAAAGTCAGCAGGTGGCATTTAATATAATTAATTATATAATGTCACTCACTCACCTCTCTCAGCCTGGATGCTTCCTAAGTTCACTCCGGTAAAGCCCACCTTCCTGCACAGTGCCTGGCACATGGTAGGTGTCGACGGTGTTCACTGCATGAGCCATGACCCGCTCCTAGACACCCCCTCTCTCTCAGGCTGGAGTTACAACTGGGAAAACAAAATCCGAGGGAGCTCGTCAGAAAACTGGCAGGTGCTACAGCAAGTGTCTCCCAGCTCAGCTCTCCCCTGTGCCCCGTCTGGGGTAGACACAGGCAGACAGCACCCAGCCGGGGAGCCTTCCCTGCTCCTGCCACCCCTCTAGGTGACATCACCACAGGTCCCACCCTCGGCCTCAAGGAGCCAGAAATGGGGTTCCTCGGCCCTCAGAAAGTTGACCAATGCCGGGAAAGAGGGATGTACTCACCAGTTGCATGCAGGACTCTGGATAAACCTGAATGGCTGAGAAACTCAGAAGTGATGAGAGCTGGGGCAGGACAGGATGAGACGGGACAGGGTGGGTCCTGGAGCACTGCAGGGTGGGTCCTGCAATATTTGGGAGAGCAGACAGAAAAGGCGCCTCAGGAGAGGCAGACCAAAGCCTCACACAGTCACCTTGCCCTTTCTCTTGCTCAGTCAGCAACAGACCACAACCAGGGCCCAGACTGGATACCAAACTAACAGCACAGGCTCCCATGCCTATCCCTATCATGATGGCCATACCATACTAGCAGTAGGATAGTCCGTTCTACACACACACACACACACACACACACACACACACACACACAGCCTGCAGAGCTAAGGCAGGTCCAGGATACGGACCTTGGCCTGGCAGTGGGGGATCAGGGCTCAGAGCGGGGGAGAAGGTGGGCTGGGGTAGGGCTGTGGCCGCTTTCTGTGGTCAGAGCTGCAACTCTGAGCTCCTAAAAAGAGCCTCAGGTTTGGGGAAGGAGAGAAGACTTGGGGGATGGGGAGAGGGCATCTCTGATCAGATTTGGCCATTATCACACATCCCTGATGTTGTGCCCCATCGTGGGACTCCCCCCACCCCTCCCGGGGCCCCCATCGCACAAGCACAACCCTGGAGAGCAAGCTCCAAACACCCCTCGGTGAGGGGCTCAAGGATGGGGGGAACCAGGACACGCTCTCCTCCTCACCCCACAAATACCGAATCTCCCTTTTGCCGTCTACAGGGCCAGCGTCAGGCATGACCTTTGCTCCTTGGTGCCGCCTCCTTCACCACCCACCGCCAGCCTGCTCGCCACCTTGGGGCCATTAGCATTTTTAAGGTTCTTATTCCCATACACATCCTGCCCTGGGATTGTCTCTTCCTCGAGGTATTAGCACCTTCCACTTGCCTTTTATCACCCCAGCCCCGCCTGCCTGGGGTCAGCCTTCAATCCACAAGCGTCTGGGGAAGAGCCAGGAAGCCTGCTCACACTCCTTTCACAGTTCATCCCTTTCCGTCGGAGGCATGTCCTGAGGTCCCGAGCCCCCTCCCACCTTTTCTCCCTTCCCCCCCACGAGAGGTGTTCCCATAATCAGTAGGCATCAGTCGGCTCTAATCAACCCCCTGTTTTGACTATTTTAGCAGCAATAAAAGGGCCATAAAGAGAAAGTCAGTGGGCCCTCTAGGAGCATGGATCTCCTTTGCTGTGATATAATGAAAAACACCAAGTGCTTCCTCAGAGCCCTAAGTGACAGCGTGGCAAGCAAAGCTATTGGAGGAAGCCTAATTATGCTATAAATTAAAGGCCTTTTTTTTTTTACCCAACATTATGACCTTTAATAAGATTGTTTTTACAACCGGCTGTCAATAAATCATGCAGGAGCACCAGTAAGAAGCATTCTCTGAGAACTTCTGCGAATTTCATTAGCTGCAGTTTATTTGGTTTTGGCGAGCTATGATGTTTTTTAAATCTCAAATTAAAGGCTCTGAACCATAAAAGCTAATTCAGAAAAGTTCCTGTTTCAGCCTCTGAAAACAAGCTTCCCTAATTGCAGAAATTAGCTGAGATGTGGCCAGGCCAGGAGGTCATTAGCTGGGAAGCAATGACAAGTGGCTGGGACTTCACCAGGCCCAGCAGCCACGAGCCCCCTAAAAACCTAAAGGTGCCAGTCCCAGGGGACAGCTGGCCCTACAGTGGCCGGCTCCGGGAGGTCCTCGTCCTGAGGACTACTGATGTCAAAAGGGACAGGCCAGCTCAGCCACTGGGGCAGGAAGGGCCCGAGCCAGTGTCCTTAGGCCAACAGATTGGGAATCCACAAAGCCGTTTAACCCGCCGCTCAGAACTCCCCACCCGAGCTTTCTTGACTTCAGTTCTTGTCCTCCTCAGAACACTAACATTGGCCGTATCAGTGTTATAAGCTTCCTGAAAGATATATAAGGAGAATATATAAAGAATAGGACATATATGGGTGGCAAATTCAGAGGCATCGCCATGACAAAGGAGTGCACACAGTGAGCAGAAACATGGCCAATGGTGTGAGGTCTGCTGCCCACCTCTTAAGAAAGCAGGTGAACCTGCTATATGCCACACGCAGCTGGTGCCTGAGTACAGACTTACATCAGAAAGCCTGCGTTTAAATTCCAGCCCTGCTATGAATTATGGAAGCTTGTGTGGCATGTACAATTAAGATTGTGAAGCCAGACAGACCTTGTTCAAATACTGGCTTCAGGACTTGCCAGCCAAGTGACCTTAGGCAAAGTATGTCATCTTTCTGGGCCTCAGTTTCCTCCTCTGTAAAATGGGGATAGTCTCAGTAGTCTCCCCAGAGCATTGTTTTGAGCAAGAGGAAGCAGAGGCAGAGACGGGGCTGCTGTCTATCGGCTCTCGATAAACACCAGCTGGTGACAATGGTAGTAAGAAGGACAACAGCATTTCCTCCTGGGTCTCAGCTTCACCCCCTACAAAAAGGGGGCTGGATCTGAAGGATTTCTAAGGCCACTTCCATCATGGACTGGAAGTGACTCGAAGAGATGTAAACTCTCCTGCTTAAACCCTTCAAAGACTTCCCATTACCCACAGAACGAAGTCAAAGCTCCTCAGAAAGAGCCCGTATGCTTGGATCCCTGCTGCCCACTCCACCCCTCCCCCACTGTCCCAGAGCTCAAGAGAATTTGATGCGCAATAGCCCCTGCCTCTGGGCTCAGGTACACAGTCTCCTCTCTGCCTAGAATCCCCCCTGGAGCCTCTTCACCTGGCTAAGACCTTCTCCCAGACCCCCAAAGTCACTTCTCCCAGGAAGCTCCCTACCCTCAGCCCTCCCCCCCCCCCCATTCCCACAGGATCTACTTGTAACACCTGCTACTTCTATCAGAGACATCATCACCCCACACTGATGGTTTTGTCCAACCCGCACCCTCACCTAAGTAGGCAGCAAAGACCATATTGGTTTGGGTCCCCAAATCCCAAAACCATCCTTGGCACATGATATGCCCTCAAAATATTTGTCAAAGGAACGTTCGTGAAGTAGCATTCAGGGACAGAAATCTAGCAAAAATGGTATGCAGAAATAGATGAAGTTATTTTGTCAACAGACATTTGAGTTGTAACTAGGAGTTAGGTTTTTTTTAATCTCAACGAAGTAAGTATACTGAAGACCGTCAGAAAACGAAACTTTAATACCTCTTCCCGTAGTCTTACCATCTGTTCATCATCTCTCTTTTCTCAGAGAACGAGGAGGGGAGACGGAGTCGAGATGAGACCTCATAGGGTGAGGCTGGGTCAGAAAGGATCGCCTTTGAGAACCAGGAGACACAGAGGCACGCCCTGGGTGGGTTCCATTCTCCTCGCCCCCAACTCTTTCCCTCCACGCTCCCCAACCTGCCCAACTTCCACAGCCCAGGATTCCTTTCTCCTAGGGGAGAAACATCAGTGGTTCTAAAATTTCCGAATGAAAACCATCCGTGAAGTCGTGCGTGGGAAATGAAATGCCAGCACAAGGGCGTCAGTGACTGTGGAGAAATCATGGCATCTACACTCACCTGGGCTTCCTTTGGTCTGCCTCATTAATCAGCTCCCCAGGTCATCGGGGTGTCTCGCCTCAGGCTCACAGGTCTGGTTTTTGTATAATACACATTTCCCCCAGTTTTTATTTCATCTGCTTTTTTCAAGCAGCCTTTCCATTATTTCTGAACATTTGAGTTAAAAAAATGTAAATTACAGACGCCTGTGGATTGACGTAATGTGAAAAGAAGGCGGCTGTTTCCCCTCCCTCCAAACAGGGACCATGGTTTTTAAAACTAATAAACCCCTTAAACCTCATGAAGCCCACTTCAACCTTTTTAAATGGCTATTTTCAGAAAGGAAAAGGGAAAAAGAAGAAGCCAGGAAACATGTTTGGGGCAATGCCTTGGCAGGAGGGGGAATGACCCCTGCCAGGGCAGATGGCATCTGCCCCTCCCTCAGGTCCAAGGTGGCAGCCCATGAAGAATCTGGGAGGGGAAAGCCTCCCACTCGTGGAAGAGCCTTGGAAGTCCTCATAGAAAGGAGAGACTGAACAGACAGGCGCAGGAGACAGGAACTTCATGGTACAGAGAGGCTCTGGAGAAGGTGGGAGCAGAGGGATTGAGAGGGACATAGGAGGGATCAGTTTTGATACCCAAGTTGGGATAGTGAGTGGGAGGACACTGGGAGGAGAAAAGGGTGAGGAAGGTGGCCTGGCCGGGAAGGAAAGTCAACAGGATCTGCCTTTTCTAGAAACAGGAATTGAATGTGGAGGAGACTATGAAGCTGGGAATCATGGGTGGAGCAGAGATCAGAAATAGCTCTAGGGAGACAACAAAAGCCACCTTTAAAAACTGATCCCACCTCTAATGTGTGCAAGGCTCTCCTATTTTTGCCACTCAGTGAGGGTCCCACTCAGTAACCACTAGAGACAGAGTCAAGGGTCACTTACCTTACCCCAGAGGACTCTGGCTGACTGTCTACTCAGGCATTGGGTCCTGCTCTGCCCGTAGCCCTGAATCAAATGCTTGGCAGAGAAACACACAGAAGGCATCCAGCAACATTCATAGAATGAATGAATGAGCTAACACACGAATGGATCAATGACTGGGTGAAATGACCATCTTCGAAGCAACTGTAATCCTTCTGGAAAGAAGTACAGGTGCCTCTCTTCCAAGCGTACCAGAAGTATGCCCCAGAACAAGCCTACCATGTACAGCTGCACAGGTACTAGGGATCCAAATCAAAAATTTCCCTCCCAAAGTGACCTCTCATTCAGAAAGCAAAAGTTCCTAGGAACAGCTGAGAAGTTTCCCTCTTGCTTTTTCTGTCTCTTCTAGGTTCAACAGGTTGGAATTTCAAAATCAGAGAAGGACCAGCAAAGTTGATTTGGAAGTGCCCCAGGGAGAGGCTGGTGTGAGCCACTCTGCATTTGCCACATGGGCTGAGGATCCTCCCCAGCTTCCTGAGGGATGGCATCAGCTCTTACAATTTCTGAGGGTGAAACGGGTCTTTGGAGTTTCTGGATTTGCCTCCCGGACACAAGGAGATTCCCAGCAAATCCGCTATTTACACTTGTAAATAGAAGTGTTTCGCTTCTATTCTGGTTTGGTTTGGAAAGAATTTCTCTAATGCTTCCACCTCCCGAACCATCGAACCATCGAGTAAGCTTTAAAAGTATCACGCTTAGCCCTTCCCTACCACACCCACACCAGAGGGCATGGCTAGGGTCCTCCAGGGGGAAATGCTTCTGCACCCTAGGTCCCTGGGATTCGTGCCTCCTTCTCAGCAGTTGCAATGGAGGGGCTAGATGAAGGGGAGATCACCCTTCGAATCAGCCAATGTCCCTTCCTCAGCTGAAGTCAAGGAGATGTGAATGGGTTGCCAGTCGAAAGGCAAATGTAAGTGTCCCCCACGATTTGAGCTGGATGAGGGAAGCACACGCTTCATCACTGTCATTCTACTCTGGCTTATAATTTAGGGAGCAGAGGATACGTTCTCATGGAGCTCAAAATCTTGAGCTACAACTCTTCAAGCTAAAAGTACAATCACTTAAAAAAAAAATACGACTGCTTATCAACTTTATGCACCTCCTATTTAGATGTGAAAAATGCTCCAGAGGGAAGTTTCATGAGCAAAGGCCAGAATTTACTGCGTATTTCCCACAAATAGGGCTCACTGGTTTGTTCTGCAAGAAAGAAAACCCAGAGGACCCACCCAGCAGGCCTCTCGGGCAAAACAGAATCTAAGCCAGATTAAAAAATCCACTTCAGGACTTTTTTATTGCTGGGGTGGGTTGGAGAACTGTCAATGGGCAGGAAAATAGCACATCTGGAATGTGGCTCTGTCCCCTTGATGGCTGGTATAACTCAACTTGTATGTCAGATCTTTTTTTGTTTTTTCTTTCTTTCTTTTTTTTTTTTTTTTTTTTTTTTAATGGCCAAGATTTATCTGGCTTCTACTCATTTTTTAAGTCCAGGGTGAATACGATGGTTGAATTCTATACGTTTACATTTGTGTAAATTAAAAGTCGTATTTCACTACCGGGCTGGTCTCTTGCTTGTCTTCAAGGTGAAAATGGCAAAACTAAGCGCTATGATCCAAGGCACTGATTACCCTTCTCACCCAGAAGATACTAAAAGAGAAAGATCTTGTGATTTTCTTCACTGAAGCTATATCCCCTTTGTGCCTTTATAAAATCTGGTTCTGGAAAAGTTGGCGCCAAGATGCTCAAACTGAAAGTAGAATTTTGGATTAATTTAGTCAGTCATGTGGCAACAAGAGGCTATTATAGGCCTTTTTTTGCAGCAAGCAAATTGGTTTGTAAAGTTGATAGAGCCATTTTAACTCCTAAAGGGATTTGAGAGGAAAGTGAGCGGACCCTTCTGGAGACAGTGGTCTATTGCTTTTTCGTCCAGGGGCTGATATCAGTTTTGACCATAAGGGAATGCCTTTTTCATGGAAGTCCACACTTGGCATTTGCTCTTAAGTTAAAAGCAAGAGCAATGTAATAAACGTTTGGTAACAACCCCCCACATACTTAGATTTATTGGCTAGTTAAATCTTTAATGGTTAAAGTTAAAAACCTTTTATTTCAATGGCCTGGGGATTTGCACAGCTGGAAAGTTGCATTTTAATATATTCAAATTGGAATAGAAAAGCCAAAATTGACCAGGACATTGACTGTGTTTCTTGGATACTCCCAAACTCGTAGTAAGCAGATGGCAGCCATGGCCTTGCTGTAGGTCTACCCTCCTCACCCCAAGCCAAGCCTGAAGGGGAAAGAAGAGAGGGGAGAAGGAGGCATGCGCTGCAGGGACCCGTGGGGCGGGCTCCCTTCCTACCTTCACTCACCTGCTTCACTCACCTTGTTCTCCACCCAAGTAGTTGAGAAATCACAGAGCATCTATTCTCTGGCTCTGCCACCCAAGTGGCCCACATTGGTTGGGTCATGCCCTACCAGTTTTGCCCTTCTGGAAACTCAGCTGGTGGCATGCGAAAGCAGTGGCAAAGGGACTGGGGCACCTGAGTTGATGGGGGTTGATAACATGATGAAGGGAGATGGGGTGAATGGACTATCAAGGCATAAGGACAGTACAGCGTCTGAGAGGTGAAAGTGACGGCAGGGACAGGGGGTGGTGCTGGTGACAATTAACCAAAGGAGGGAATTTCAAATTGCTTTCCATGAATTATCTCATGGATTCTGCAATTTGGTACTATTTTACTCTCCTTTTACAGATAAGGAAACTGAGGTATACAGAGGCTGTCTGAGGGAGGGGCGCCTGGCTGGCTCAGTCAGTAGAACACGCAACTCTTGATCTCAAGGCTGTGAGTTCAAGCCTTGAACTCTCTTGAGTGTAGAGAGTACTTAAAAATAAATAAAATCGTAAAAAAAAGAGGTTGTCCAAGTTCATGTTGTTAGAAAAAGGTGGAGCCAGGATTCAACACCAGGTAGTCTCACTCGAGAGCCTGCAACCCTAAAAGCCTGCAACCCTCAAAGAGTGAAGGACGGGGACGCCCAACGTCTTGGAAACTAAGGAGCATGAGTGTTACAATCACCAGTAAAGCAGAACCAGTAAGGATTATCTCTGCTGCTTTCGGGACACATGAAAATGAAGAAATCGTCATCCTCACGCACAACTCACAAAGGCACACAGTCACTTCACCCGTCAGCTCTTCAGGTACCTTAACCCAGAGACAAAGACGTTCTGACAAAGAGGTTATGCGCTCATCTACTGATTTCTTGGGCACTTGCTGCAGAGACACAGAGACATCATGGGACCAATGCTCTCACACAGGTGCACCACCAATCAGACTTACGTCTTCTGGCATCACATACTCACACACGTTTGTGCATGCCACAGGGTATTCCTGGATGATCCCTTGGGACTCAGCGCTGCCATTATTTCTCAGATGACAGACTACCGTCTGTCCTGCTGACAGTGATCCACCTGGCCCACGGTGGATCCTGAAGGACGAAGGATAAAGCATGCGGATCGCACTGCCAGGAATATAAGATGATCCAAAGGCCCCCAGGACAAAGTAGAAATAAATAGGACCATCTACCCACCACTTCCAATCCCCATCCCAAGAGCCCTGAGCTGTCACCTAGAGAAGGGTCAACCCAGCCTTTGCTAGTGACCTTTGTCAGGAGGAGGTTAAAGCTCGAACCCAGGACTTTAGTCACCAATAGTTATCTCAGCATCCAGGATGAAGGCTGAAGGCACGGGGGTCGGATCACTCTTCTTAAGTATACTTGATTGCTGGGTCCCAAGGAGAGAAGATTCTTGATGGAAAATGCCAGGCTTCCAGTGAATTTTCTAGTCCTGAAACACTAATATTTCTCATATGGAGGCTCACAGACGTTCACAGGGTTTTCAATTTCAAGGCCATTTTGGTTTTTTATGGGGTTTGATGTTCTCTGCACAAACATAGGTTTAATAATTGACAGAGTGCCAGGCTGCCCATTTTGGCACTTACAGGCCTGCCGTTCAGGACAGTGAAGCCACTCAGTTCATATGGCCCACAAAGCCACGACAGTCTACTGCCTGGCACAGAGACCTTGCCAATTGCAGGAAGTTGGGAAATAAAAGAAACGTTTCAAATAAAAAGATGTCAATTTAACAGCCAGGGACCTGGAAACAGATGTTCCTTGCATAGTCGGAGAGCCGCCCACCCGCCCGCCCATCCGTCCTCCGGGTTTTCAAAGTCACTTCTTGTCAGGTGCCCTGGTTAAGAGGGAGAATTAATGAGCTGTGCTCCATTTTACGGCTGCCGTCTGATGTGGGAGCCGTGTGCGGAGTGCTCCGCGGACAGGCCAGCCCGGCCCCCAGCCCTTCCTCCAGCAGCTCAGCTTGGATCAAAGCGGAGAGCAGCTCAGCTTTTATAGCAAAATGATTAAAACCACGTGGGGCTTGTTTCCTCACACGTGACCTCCCGTCAAAGTGCAGAGTGGGGAGCGGAGGAAAGGTGAACCCAGGGGTCTCCAGGCCGAAGGAAGGGTAGGACCCGGGAGGCAGACACCACAGAAAATGAGCACGGCCGTCTATATGCATGTGCACACACTCACAAATAATGCCTTTTCCCTGCAAGTTGAAACCTGGCCCCAGAATGAGCAGCCAGAGGACCTAATTAGCCCAGTTAGCTGGGAGCACTTAGCACCATAGATAGATAGATAGATAGATAGATAGATAGATAGATGATAGATAGATAGATAGATAGATAGATGATAGATAGATTCCTAGCTATCCAATTACTCCTAATCCTTGTTAGAAAGTACAACTGGATTGCACTGACAAAGTAAGTCTCAAATGTCCCTGCTGTATCTAGACAAAAAATTTCTCATCCATCCTTGGATGGATGCTTGTCTTTGGCAATTCCACTGCACCTGAACATCAGAACTCCCCTGTGGTAGGTGGCCCCCCTTCTTATAGCTCAGTTGATTCCCCCACCCTGGTATTCATGTGTAATCTCCTCTTCAAGTGAGCAAGGACCGGATTTAGTGACTTGTCTCTAGCAAGCAGAATGAAGCTGAGGTAATGAGATGTCCCTTCCAAGATTATGTTATTAAAAGACGGTGGCTTCCTTCTTGGGCTCATTTACTCTGAAGGAAGCCAGCTGTCATGGTGTGAGCTGGGCTAGGAGGGGGCCCACATGGCAAAGCACTGAGAGAGACCTCTTACCAGCAGCCAGAGAGGAACTGAACCTTGCCAGCAGCCGCAAGAGTGAGGTTAGAGGCAGACCCTCTCCCAGTCGAGTCTTGAGACTATGGCCCCGGTCACCTTGATGGCAGCCATCTGAGACACCCTCAGCTGCACCTGAATCCTTGGCCCACAGAAACTAAGCGATAATAAATGACTATTGTTTTAAGCTGCTAAGTTTGGGCTAATTTGTTAGGCGCCTTAAATGACTAATACACCTACCTTGGCTCCTCCTCCACACCTGAAAATCACACGTCTTTCAATCTTGGCTCCTCCCTGAGATAATCCTGTGCAGCCAGGCATAATTTACAGCAATCTTTACGTGGGGCTTCTACACCATCAGCCCCACTGCGGCCTTTAGCTCTCTGAGCTCATCCCAGTCACCCTGGCCTCCTTGTTGTGACTTGAACGCACCAGATATGCATCCACTTCAGGGCCTTTGCACTTCCCCAGGGCTTACCTTCCCTCCTCCTTAGAGTCTTTGTTCAAACATCACCTTCTCAGGTAGGCCTTTCTTGACTAATCTGCTTAAAAAGGAAATCTCTTCCACCCCACCCCCAGAGCTTCCTACCCACCCTCTTCCTGCTGAATTTTTGCCATAGTCTTTGCCGTCATCTAGCATACTACATCTTACTAATTTTATTTCTTGTTCGACCCCTGTCTCCCCTAGATCAAAGGCAGGGATTTTTGGAATTGTTGTCTGTTTCGTTCACCCCTTCATTCCCAGTGTCTAGAACCCTGCCTGGAACATTTTACAGGCATTCGATAAAGACTCACTGAATAAATGAGTGAATGGGATAGTTCTCCCATGTTCTTTAAGTTTATTTGTTTTGAGAGAGTGTGTGTGTGCAAGCACGGAGAAGGGGCAGAGAGAGTGGGGGAGAGAGAATCCCAAGCAGGTTCTGTGCTGTCATCTCAGAGCCCAACACAGGGCTTTAGCCCACGAACTGAACCATGAGATCATGGCCTGAGCTGAAATCAAGTGTCAGGTGCTTAAGTGACTGAGCCACCCAGGCGCCCCCAGTTCTCCCATTTTCTAACCACCTACTACTGTCTCCTAAATACGTATTGTCATTAGTCCTCCTAACAACTCCACAAGGTTGACATTATTGTTTTTCATTTTACAGAACGTAAAACCTGAGGCCAGAGGATGCTGCATTATTCAAGGTCCTGCAGCTAATACGTGGGAGTACTAGGATTTGACCCTCCTACATTCACTTCTCTACACTTCTTCCATGGCACTGGCTAACTGTTTACAGTTAACCAAGTGCTTTCCAAAGCAATGATCTCATCTAACCTTCACGATAACCCTGCGAAAAAGGCATTATTATCTCCATGTTGACAGAGATGGAAATCGAAGCTCAGAGAGGTTAAGGCATCTGCCTTAACAGAGCAGAGCCAGCACAGAATTTCTCTGGCTCATAAAAAAGACATTGACTGAGCCGCTTCTGGGTGCCAGACACCATGAATAATAGCACCGGGTCCCCCTCAAGGCCAGAGGGCTCTCCACTCTCCCCAGTCCTGTGGGGCTCTGTGTTGGCCACTGCAGTGTGGTGAGTACGCACTCAGGGTGACCACAGATAGAAGATTTTTCTAAATGTCAATTTGTGTCGTTCAGACACGGCCTGAAGGCGGCTGATCAGAAGGGAGACTGACAGGTGAACACTGAGGTCTTGGGGAAGGGAACCAGAAGAGATGACAGAGTAGGGGATTTTTCAAGATGGAGCCAAAAGATGCATTAAGCCAAAGGAGGTTGAGGTAGCTGAGCGTTTTCAAAATCCTCTTTTATCCTTATTCCTCATTCCCATCCCCCCGCAGGGAGCCACGTTAAGGCATTTGTTGTGTATGGATCTCTTGGTTCATGCCTTTGCAAAATGCTTAGCTTTCTTTTGGGGCATTCAGTCTTCTCCACCTAACGCAAATGTTGTACAGCTCCCTCTGCCTTTGACTCATCCGCTCAGCACTGTTTAAAGATCCATGCATGTTAGTGAGCGTACATCTAACCTGTTGCTTCTCACTGCGAGGTAATACTCCATGGCGTGTAGCTACCACCTCTCACTATCCACCTCCGCGAGGATGACCCCCACCACGTCGCGCACGTCCCTGCCACACCCCGCCCTGGCCTGTGTGAGTGGACTGCTGGCACATAGGGTAGAAACATCTTCATTCAGTAGCGCCCGCGTGCTGTCCTGATACACTCCTACCAGCATGGCACGCACGTTCTTGTACCTCATACCCCTCCCAGTACTTGGTGTCATCCAGCCTTCCAATTTCCACCAGCCCGATAGCTATAAAGTTTATATCTCATTATTTCTTTATTGCGCATTTCTCTGATTATTAATGAGTTCGAGCAACCCTTCATTTGCTTGTTGGCCTTTTAGGTTCTCTTGAGTGGACTAATCGGATCTTAAGTGGAAGGAGGGAGATTAGTCCACAAAACTGACCTGGATTCCTGGAAAAGGGGGAAGGGATGGGAGGTCTCCAGGCATAGGAACGACAGATGCTCAGGCAACACTTCAAACTGGAAAAGGCTTCCAGGTGAACAGTATGGGCCTCAGCCATGGGGTTTTCCTTGAAAACCATCTTTTTTTTTTAATATTTTTTAACGTTTTTTATTTATTTTTGAGACAGGGAGAGACAGAGCATGAACAGGGGAGGGTCAGAGAGAGGGAGACACAGAATCCGAAACAGGCTCCAGGCTCTGAGCGGTCAGCACAGAGCCCGACGCGGGGCTCGAACTCACGGACCGCGAGATCGTGACCTGAGCCGAAGTTGGCCGCCCAACCAACTGAGCCAGCCAGGCGCCCCGAAAACCATCTTTTTACTTTCTCCAAAATACAGGACAGAACGTAGAAAACAGGCTGGCTCAGAAGGGGAGAATGGAGTTGGCCAGGAAGATAGAAGCTGAATTCAGTCAAAGCATATGTCCTGGAAACCTAAATTGGATTCTGCTAAAAGGAAGCATTTCTGTTATTTTAAAAGACAGAATCAAGAGACTGAGAGGCAATCTGTGATGTGAGAAAAGATTTTTTCAGAATAAATATATGACAAAAGACTCAGATCCAGAATATATAAAGAACCTCTACAAACCAGTAGGAAAAAGACAAACAGCTCAATAGAAATATGGGCAAAAGACTTGAACAAGCTCTTCACAAAAGAGGCTATACAAATGGCCAACAACCATATGAAAATGTGCTCTGACTTCTTCAGGAATCAGAAATACAAAATGGAACATCGATTTGAATTACCACTATTACACCCATTAGTGTGGCTACAGTGAAAAAGAGAAGCCAAATGTTGGATGGAACACAAATTGCCATATCCTCTTGGAAAGCTAGTCAACAATATCTTCTAAAGCTGCTCCTTGAGCATGTATAAACCCTTTGCTCAAAAACTCCATCCTAGGTACATATCCAACAGAAATGCATTCTCCAAAATACACACACAATAGTGCTCATAGAGTCACTATCCATAATATACAACAACTGGAAACTACCCAAAGACCCCTCAACCATTGAAAAGGTAAGTAATTGTAGTATATTCACATGATGAAATAATACACAGCAACAAAAATTTAAACAATCAGGGCACTTGGGTGGCTCAGTTGGTTGAGCGTCCTACTCTTGATTTCAACTTGGGTCATGATCTCATGGTTTGTGAGTTTGAGCCCCACACCGGACTCTGCACTGACAACAAGGAGTCTGCTTGGGATTCTCTTTCTCCACCCCACTCTTCCCCCGCTCGCTTGCTCTCTCTCTCAAAATAAATAAACATTTTTTTAAGTTTAAAAAAATCTTTCATGGGTACCTGTTGCCTCGCTCTGGCACCATACTGGCAAATCAGGCATAGGAGACGCACAGGAGGGGGGAACTGGCAACAGGCTATGGAAACATCACATATAAGAACAGATGCTGGGGTGTCTGGGGCTTAGTCGGTTGGGCGTCAGACTTCAGCTCAGGTCATGATCTCACAGTCCATGAGTTCGAGCCCCGCATCAGACTCTCTGCTGACAGCTCAGAGCCTGGAGCCTGCTTCGGATTCTGAGTCTCCTCTCTCTCTGCCCCTCCCTGGCTCATGCTTGGTCTGTCTCTCTCTCAAAAATAAATAAAGATTAAAAAGATTCAAAAAAAAAAAAAAAAAAAAGAACAGATGTTCACCCTGCCTTGCTTTGTGAGCAGAGTACAAGTGAGTACACAGTCAGTGCGTACCTCGTGAGATTTCAGAGAACAAGATAGGAGTGTCCTAAACGTGGGGAGGGCTCTACAAAGAACCAAGCGCTTTGTGTATTTTATCCCACTCGTGCCCCTCTGCAGCTGAGTGAACTGAGATCCTTATAGGCAACATGAGTTGCCTGAGGCCATACTGCCTGTAAGCCCCAGAGCTAGATCTGGTCCTCGGGTCTCCTAGCTTAAGTTTCCTTCTCTCAGACCACATTACCAGCTTGATCTGAGCCACAGCAATCAGGGGAGCACCCCCCTCCCCGCCCCAGGGAGGAACAAATTACACAGACGTTGAAGGATGGAGATGATTCATGAGAGCAGACAATGGAGGAAGCCAGAGCGTATGCTATGGCAGGGAAATGCCAAGTCCAGGAGCTTACAACCTTATCTGGAATTCAGATTCCTACAGAGGAGCTGCTGGTGGTTCTCTCAGGAGACAGGCAGAAAGAATGACCAGGGGAGTGCAGCTGACCCACCCCCGCCCCAGCCCTCGCTGTCTTGCCCCTTCTGTAAAGCCCTAGAAGTCTCTCCTCCCAAAGGCTCTCTGTGCCCCCAGATTTATTTTGCTTTCTTTCGCTAAATCAAACTTTATCAGACAGTTTTACTATCAGCCGTTAAACCAAAATGTGTTTGTGCAACAGTAAACACCTTGTTACTGCAGGGAAGGATTACATAAACAACAGTGGAGACGAGGCCTGACTCACTGTACCCAGGAGCCCGTGGCCCTCAGTGGGGATGGAGGAGGGCAGACTGGAGGGCACTGTGGGGCACCTCGGAAACTGAGGGCAAGGGGAAGGGTCCACACTCTGCTCTGGGGCATCTGCTTTCACCAGAATGGGATGGCTGGCAACCATGTCTCCAGTCAGAGGCTGACAGGCATGTCCTCTAGAGATTCCCAGAAGGTACACGGACCCTCCCCAGAGCGCTGGGGGAGTAAGCAGACAGGGAGGGATGGCAGAAATGCTAGGCAGGAGGTGGGGGTGGTTGGTTTTGGATTAGAATCTCATGAGATGGGTCAGGTTGGGGGCTGGATCGGGGTGGAAATAGATGAAGGCCGGAAGGAGTCAAGAGAGGAGAGGGGGGAGGGCATGTTGTGGAGACAAGAGGGTAAGGAAGATCAGGGCAGTGGGGCCACCTGCTCGGGACTGAATTGTTGGCCAAGGAGTGGAGAGACATGGGCCTCTTTTGGCGTGATGGAGGCACAGGTGTTTAGACCAGCCCTGGCTGAGTGGCAGACAGAGACACTGGGGTGTGTGCCCAGAGGCAGGGACCTGTGGGCAGAGTAACCAGTGAGGCTGCCCCTCTCACTGGGTCTGCCCAAGGCCTTCCCTCCAGGTGCCCTTCTCCCTCCCCTCTGCACACTCAAGACCCTCTCTTCATGGCTGCTCACCCAGCCAGAGTCATGTGGCATAGGCTGTCTAAGGGACGTTAAGACTGGATTTAAGGAGGCCCCGAGTGCTGGATGGAACCCAAGGGAAAGTTGGAGAGAAGATGAACAAACAGTTTACAGGTTTTTTTTGACCCTGCTAGACACCAGGCACCATTCTGGGAGCTT